CCCCCCCCGGGAGAATGGCCACACCTCAATCCTTTCTCCTCCATCCTCCTCTCAGGATCTTGGGCAGGCACACACATGCACCCAGCATGAGTTTAAGCCACCGGATCTGGGACTCGAACCACAGTTGACTACATGGGAGTCCAGTGACATAGCCATTATGCCAACTGCTGGTCTGTTTTTATTTTTTTTTTTCCCATATGAAGGATAATCTTGCTGGGTATAGTATTCTTGGTTGATATTGTTTTTCATTTAACACTTTGACTCTATTTCCCCATTCTTTCCTTGTCTACATCATTTCTTTATTTTCTGGGGCCTTTATTGGTTGGACCAGTGTGTCTAGTAGCTTAGGTGGAGCATGCCTTTGTGCTGGCTCCCATTTGTCCTCTCCTAGGAGTTCAGGACTCAGACCATGAGAGAGAAGTGTCCAGGCAAGGGTGGTAGGAGAGCCAAGATAAAACATACAGGACTAGGACCTAAAAGGGGCTCAAGGTGATGAAGGAAATGTGGGGGTGCTAGTCCATCCACATAAAGTGTCCTTTGGGGCGAAGGGGAGCTGTTTCACCAGCAGGTCCTTCTATACTTGCCAGGAATGGGAGGGCTCAGGAGAAAAGCTTCCCCTAGAGATTCCTTACTGTGCCCTTCGTGCCAACAGCATCTCTTGGATATTGTCTTTGGCTTCCTTAACACTCAGTTCCAGGTAGGATTTTCTATTCTAGTTCTTTAATATTTTCTTCTGCTATTTTTTTTTCAGCTGATTGTGAATTACCTCCTTTGATTGAAGAATAAACATTCTTCCTACACCTTCATACATATTAGTCTCATCTACCAAAGTCATGATCTCTGTATCTGTAAGATGTGCATGTATCTTCATTGTTTAGCTGTTCAATCTGTATGTTTGCAAGCTTCACCTTCTGTTGAGTGTCAATAACTTTGGCTTGAAGCTCTGTGAAAGTCTTCTTCAACTCCTGATCCATGGGGGCCACCATCTTGGTACACTCTATGCGTCAGCGCAGTCTTGTCTGCATTGTTTCTGACAAGAGGTCTGATGTTAGCCTGATGGGATAATCTTTGTAAGTAACTTGATAGTTCCTTCTTGCCAATTTCAGTATCTTGTCTTTTTCTGTGGTCTTGGTTAGTCTGGCCATGATGTGCCTTGGAGAGGATCTTCTTGGGTTGATTCTATTTGGGGTCCTATGTATTTCCTGGGTCTGGATATTTGAATGCCTCTCTAAGTTTGGAAAGTTTTCTTCCATGATTTCATGAAATAAATGATCAATGCCCTGATTTCTTTTCCTCTTCTGGGATACCAATTATCCAGATGTTGGGGTGATTGATTGTATCTAATATTTCTCATATATTATCCTTATTTTTCTTGATTGTTTTCTCAGTCTTTTTGATACTTTTTTCTAGGTCAGAGGTTTTGTCTTCTACATTTGAGATTCGATCTTCTGCATGATCGAACCTACTTTTAGTATTTTCGAGGGATCTTTTAATTTCCTGTATCACATTCATCATCCCTAACAATCTCATTTGATTCTTTTTTCTCTTTTTTTTTTTTTGAGAGGTTTTTGCTATAGGGCATGTGCACTCGCCAGAAGACAGAGAGAGACAGAGAGACAGAAAGTGAGAAATCATCCCCCCAGGGGGGATGGCCATACCGCAATCCCTTCTCCTCCATTCTCCTCTTGGGATCTTGGGCACACATGCACATGTGCCCTACGTGAGTTTAAGCCTCCAGGTCCAGGACTTGAACTGTGGTTGGCTACATGGGAGTCCAGTGACGTAGCCATTACGCTAACTGCTGGTCCCCCCA